TCTGCTTAAGGCCTGGAACTCCTTTGGGACCCTGCACCCAGAAGAAGCTCCTGACTCCTGGCTTTGGATCAGCTCAGTTATAGCCATTGTTGCCATTTGGGGAATGAAGCAGCAGATGGCAGATCTCTCTGTCTCCTCTCTTTGTAACTACACCTTTCATATTAATAGATAAATAAATAAGTTAAAAATAGTTTAAAAACTGATTTGAAAGGCAGAGGGATGGAGATAGACAAAGCTCCCATCTGCTGGGTCATTCTCCAAGTGCTGGCAGAGCTGGGGCTGGGCCATGTCAGAGCCAGGAACTAGGAGCTCAGATCTGGTCTCCCACATGGGCAGTAGGGACCCAGCTACTTGCAGGCTTCCAGGGTACACCTCAGCAGAAATCAAATGGGGACAAAGCTGGGACTCGGACGAGGCGCTCTGATACGGGATGTGGGCACCCCAAAAGGGATCTTAACTACTGTGCTAAACACCAGCGACTCCACTAACTTGTCTAAGCAGCCTTGTGTGCATGTGTGTGTGCATGCATGCATTACGTGTACTTGGTATGGTGAGCAAAAGTGAAATTTTATACATTCTCCCAACCAGTAATTACAAATTAACAATCAGAAACAAAAATACAAATTTTAAAACTCGACTGCCTACTGCTTAGAAAGAAGTCTTTCTCTGTTGGTAACGAAAGAGCCAGTCATTGGCTGTCAGACTTACCGGGGAATATTTTCTTCAGTAGCAAAGATGAAAAGTCTGTCTTACTTCGTCTGGCAATATGGTTCATCACGCACGAGTGTGAGCAAAACAAAACACAGTACTGGCATCAAGTCGTTTCTCCTTGGGCACTGATCTTTATCTTAACGTGATCTCACTCACCTCACATGGCTGGACATGCCTAACTTTGCGGCTGACTCCTCAGAACTCCTATCTCTTACCATAATATTTTGAAAGAATCAACCACCAACATTCTCCTTCTTATCTATAATGAATGCCAGCACTCCAGGCAGCAGTTTTATCTGCTGTCCTCAGAGACTGTATGTTTTTAAAGAAGCATATATGCCATCAGTCTCTGTGATATTTGTATGATATATATCACATGATTTACATGTACAACAAGAATAATGTTTGCAGGTGACAGGCTGTTTTATGGGCAATCAAGCAAGCTGCCTGTGACTGCTCTAAAGTGCATGTGTGTTCTGCTAAACAGAGCATCATTTCAAACACTTGATATGAAAACATGGACTGGATTTGCCCTTGCATGTGTATGAATAACAAACATTACCATGGTCCTGTTGTGTCAGGTCATTACAGGAGAGTGGCTGCTACAGAAGTATCTGCTAACAAAACAACGATGAACGTGCACTGTGAGCAGTCACGGGCAGCCTGCTGCAATGTCTCCATGTTGGCCTGTCCACTGCAGATGGACAGAGGCATCAACTGGATGTGCAGTGTGAGTTAATCCTCTGGGACAAAAGCTGCCACAAGAGATGCAAAAGTGCCATGGAAAGCCCAGCACCCACCAGAATCCCCTGTGGCACCTGGCTGGGAAACCTTACTTATTAAATACAAGAGGTAGTAAGTCTTCTTGACCTTCTGTGCCCTAAGACCCTTTTCAAGTTGTTGCCATCAGTGGTGAGGTTAATTGTGGAGAGGTTCAGTCGCCCGCTCCTGGGCTTGTTGTCTGGGGCTGGTATACAGGACTGCGTGTGGCTTTGGACCTGCTGGCCAGTTCTGTTAAAGGTAACACTAAGATAACAAACTACATCAGTCAATCAAAGCTTTCCCTCCTACTTTGGAACTAACATCAGTAATAATTGCCCAAGTTTTGTTATTGTATTCCATTCTAAGGTCTTCATCCTTAAAAATATTTCAGAAATGTTCCTATTTTCAATATAAAGCTGGCCCACAGCCACTAAAAGACTGACATTCTCTAATTCTGACTGCTTATATACTGAGCAAAACTGGGGTAGTGAGAAATGAGGAACATGTTAGAGGAATATAATTGACACCAAATTCCTAACCCCAAAAGGCTTCACACCACTACAGGATAAAATGATTAAGAAATAACTAATAGAAGGCAGTGCCAAAATGATGGCTAGAACTCAAGCTGGCAACACTCCTGCTGGAGGGCTGTTCTCTTATAGTGGAAGTGCTCTTCAGCCCCACTTACAAAGTTAAGGAAGAGGGATGTACCATTAAGAGCACAGAGTTAGACAGATCTGGCTCAGATCCTGGTTTCCATAATTTTTATTGAAGCAATTGTGTACAAGTCACTTGACTTCACTCTCTTAGTTGGCAAATGAGAATTAAATGAATGAGAGAACACAAGGCCAGCACTGTACTGTCGTATGCTAAACCTCCGCCTGCAGTGATGACATCTCATAAGGGTTCATGTCTGGGCTGCTCCACTTTTGATCCAGCTCCCTGCTTATGGCGTGGGAAAGCAGCAAAGGATGACTCAATTTCTGGGGTCTCTGAACCCACGTGGGAGATCCAGAGGATACTTTTGACTCCTGGCTTCAGAGTGCCCCATTGTGGACATTTGGGGAGTGAACCAGTGATGGATGATTCTCTCTCTTTCTCCCCTTTTCTCTGTAACTTCCTTTTAAGCAAAAATAAAATTAAAAAGTAGTATAAGGGAAGTTAAATAAGTTCATGGAGAAATGGAATTAAAAGATCAATTTGGGGTAGGTGTTGTGGTGTAGGTGTCTAGCACTGAGGCCACCTATGCTTCCAATCCAGTGTTCTGCTATGTGCAGATGGTGGCTAAACCAATCCAGTCTTTGCCATCAGTGCAGGAGATACAGATGGAGTCTGGGCTCTTGGCATTGGCTTGGTCCAGCCCTGGCTGTGTGATCATTTGAGGAGTGAACTAGTGGACGGAAGATCTGATTTTCTAATATGAATTCTTCATGAGCTTTTAAAATTTATTAATTTTTATTACAAAGTCAGATATACAGAGAGGAAGAGAGACAGAGAGGAAGAGCTTCCATCCGATGATTCACTCCCCAAGTGAGCGCAATGGCCGGTGCTGCGCCGATCTGAAGCCAGGAGCCAGGAACCTCTTCTGGGTCTCCCACACAGGTGCAGGATTCCAAAGCATTGGGCCATCCTCGACTGCTTTCCCAGGCCACAAGCAGGGAGCTGGATGGGAAGTAGAGCTGTTGGGATTAGAACAGGCGCCCATATGGGATCCTGGCATGATCAAGGCGAGGACTTTAGCTGTTAGGCCACAGCGCCAAGCCCAAAATTTATTTATTTCTTTGAAGGGCAGAATTACAGAGAGACAGGGGAGATACAGTGTGAGTGTGTGTGTGTGTGTGTGTGTGTGTGTGTGTGTGTGAGAGAGAGAGAGAGATCTTGTATCAGCTGGTTCACGCTCCAAATGGCCACAATGGCCAAAGCTCTGTAGGTCTCAAGTCAGAAGCCTGGAGTCTCCTGCAGGTACTCCACATGGCCCAAACACTGAGCCATCTTCTGTTGCTTTCAGCACATTAACAGGGAGCTGGATTGGAAATGGAGCAACTAGGGATGCCAGTGTTGCAGGTGGTGGCTCTACCTGCTACGTAATACTGGTGCCTTTCATGAACTTCTTAAAGATAGTACACATGCTTGAATTTTCAAAGTTTTCTCTAAACTTAAATTTAAATTCCATTTTCCCTGAACTTTTTGGAATACTCTTACGTAACTGGCTTGTTGAGAATATTACTTATGATAAAATATGTCAAGGCTGTATCTATCGTATAGTCTGGAACACAGTAAGTTCTGGATCACCTCTTACTGAGGTAGCTTGAAGTCTGGCCTGCAGAGAAACCAGATGTGTCAGCTCTCCATCCAATGACCTCTCTTGAACTAGGCAGGCAGAGAGAGTCCATGGTTTGGGACCTACCTGAACTTTAATTTTGTCTGGTACTTCTAAAAACACTGTGTCAGTAACATTCACCGTATGCATATCTTCCCATCTCAAGATTACAACAGTATTTATGGCTATCCAGGGGCAATCACAGTCAGCATTTTGGGTAATACTCCCTCAGCCATCTTCATTTCTAGAAATGTATTTTGTTATTCATTAGGTACACACCCAGAGTATGACATAAATAGGTTTATACTGTAGACACTATTTTATAAACTGCTTTGCAACTACACAATACTGCCTAAAATTTTAATGCCAACCACTTCCTCTAAACTTTTTAATTTACTACTGAGGAATCAATCTAGAACAATTATCTCATTTTGTTATCATGCACCTCAAAGAGTATGACATTAAGAAAAACAGATCGGGCCCGGCGCGGTGGCGCAAGTGGTTAAGTCCTCGCCTTGCACGCCCGGGATCCCATATGGGCGCCGGTTCTAATCCCGGCAGCCCCGCTTCCCTTCCAGCTCCCTGCCTGTGGCCTGGGAAGGCAGTTGAGGACGGCCCAAAGCTTTGGGACCCTGCACCCGCGTGGGAGACCCAGAAGAGGCTCCTGGCTTCGGATCGGCATAGTATCGACCCGTTGCGGCTCACTTGGGGAGTGAATCATCGGATGGAAGATCTTCCTCTCTGTATCTCCTCTCTGTATATCCGCCTTTCCAATGAAAAAATAATAAAAATAAATCTTTAAAAAAAAAAAAAAAAAAAAAAGAAAAACAGATCAAGTTTGCCTGAAGAGGGAAAGAACCTGAAGGAATGGAATCCTTGGAATCATCAATGGAATTCTATTTTAACACAAACCCTCTTGTAATTCCTCTTGCTCTAGTTGAGTGATGCTGGAACTGATTTCATTATGTCCTCTCTGGGGGTTGGTGGAGGCTGCCTGTGGACACCTTCACACTAGGCTGATGCTGGCCAAGAGGTGGTAAGTATTAGTCATGCAAGATTCAGACCATTTAGTTACCTATGTAATAACCTACTTGCATAACTTGATATTTAGTACAGGTATTATGTTCAGCTTGTGTATCTCCATAACAACCCCCACCCTCACAGCAACACTTATATACATACCTCATCAGCATGCATGACTGCCAGCTGACACTGCTTCCAAGGGCTGTTTATTGAGTACCAAGATACAGCTAAGATCATACAAAATGATATGGACACAATCTTGCACCAATGGCATGTATTTCACAGTTAATTATGAAAGTTAGATTAACAAGTTTCATTAGTATTCTGCATAAGTAGATTGATTTCCAGAAAACATTTTTAATAACTTCTATAAAATTTTTAAAAATGCATTTGTTAATCAGAAGAAAAAATTAAACATTTATTTATCAAATGATACTAATGAGAATTCATAATAATGAGTTTACTTCCTATTTTACTTGGGTTGTGAACATGTTTACTTACTAATTCAGAATCAGGGACTCAATTTTTCAAGTTACCAACTCTTTGGGGTTACTGGGAAATAGAATAAATGGGATAAAAGGAACACTTTGGTTATTTCTATAAAAGACTGCCCTGCACACTGCTTACTTCACTGACCCTCCAAAGTACTGCTTACACAGTCAGTGGGCCATTCATTACCCAGTATAAGAAACACACAGCTGGGTGTCTCATTCCTTAGTCAAATGTAGTAAAATTCTATTGCTGTCACTAACAGCAAAGCAGCTTTAACAGAGGTTAGAACCAGGAGGCCAAGTCTGAAACCTAGGAAAGCATCCATCTACAAAAGTAGAAGTGGAAACCTGAATCACGTGGGCTATTCATGCACACATTTGTCCAACAGGTGCACTGCAGTGCACCTGCCAAGAGACTCCTGGATTATTCGGTGAATGTGGGTCGCCCAGGGCTTAATGATCCAATTCCAAATGTCAAAGTGAAATGAAAGGCAGCAAGTTTCTAGATGATTGTTTTACCTGTTTGTAAGAAGAATCAACTGATTTGGCAAAAACAGTGTGGAAGTTGTAAACAACTTCAGAAGAGTGAGCTCATGACTCCAAAAAACTTGAGTAGATACTCAGTCCCTGCAGGAGATGTGGCCCTGCCCAGACAGCCATATTGGAGACCATGACTCTGTGTCTCTGAGTGTGGTCGGTCAGCTGCCTGTGTGCTCACCAGCCTATGCACGGGTCTGGGCAGTCCCGCAGGTATGTTTCATAATGACCTCTGGTAACATCCATCAAGGTCGTGAATACTGTCAGCTGAAAGAAAATTTATTGTTCCTTTAAGGATATTTTCAATGCTAAGATGTTCTGACACACATTAAATTTTTCTTTATGAAATTATTTAATATTAAGCAATGAATATATAACAGTTATATACTAACATATTTATACCAATCAATTATATAATCATTACAATACAGTAATGAAAGCAACCATGGCTCCAAGTTAGGAATATAAATATGACAAGCACTCCTTCCTGAGCAGTTCACTGCTTCCCCCATGGCCCCTGGTAACCTAAAGCTCCTGGCACCATCCTCAGTGTCTAGCAGTGTCCCGGGCAGTGCTGCTATCTGCCATCTCCACTCTGCAGGTACAGAGCGCACAGATAAACTATGGAAGTCACTGTGAACTCGCAGGAAGATGCTGTGCAAGGGCTTGGGGAGATAAGGCAGGCTGTTTGGTTGAGCAGATGTAGTGGACACATGCCTGTTTTAGGGAGTGTGCGAGAGAGAAGGGACGCCTGAACACAGAACAACTATTCCCAAATGGTATGACTTACGTTTCTGCACTTTTCAGCTATGTGTGATAAAAAGAAAAAATAGTGTGTTGAAGTTGAAGAGAAACTCTAACCCACCCATTCACACTTCTCTGAAAATGGACATCAGATGCTGCTTTTGTGAGTTTTAGGTGTTAAAGAGTATAGCATAAGATTTTTGTATAAGCGTAAGTCAAGAGCTAAATGCCAGGCTTCACTGAAATGTCTTATAAGTAAAGCTGGAAAATAAAGTCTTGTAATTTCCCTTCTCTGTTGCATTTCTAAAAGCCATGGCTTAGTCACACAGTAACTCCCTCCTCCGCACTGCCCCGCCACTGCCCTTTTTAAAAAGCAGTCTGAAGTCGAATAAAACTTCTGTGCTCAGACTGATCCAAGCTAACAGGAAGGTCACTAAATGAATAAATCAGTGTGAACATTTCACAATACCTTGTTGAGGACTGGTTTTGTTGACAGGACATCATATAAGGTTGCAAATGAGATATTCTAAAACAAAAATAGCTTTGCTCAGTAAGTGCAATACAGATGTTGGCAACATTTATCCATACAAATGGGCCATCAAAAACCAAGACATTCTTCAACCTCAACCCACCACCGCCCTAGTGCTCCTAGAAGGCTTTGGGGTCACTGCCAGAGGTAATCTTTCTGAGGTATGACTTTTTCTTCTCTCTTCCTTTCCCCTTGGATTACCCACTGCTATTCAAGTGCACAGAATGGCATCCAGCATTGGACTAAGAAGCTATTGCAAACTTCTGCTACTGAACTTAAAGACAAACCAGCCAACCAGTGGGGATTGTCTGGGGATACTGAGGAATGCCAGTTTGTAAAATATTTAGAGTAAAAGACAGTGCTAGCATTAAGACCATCTTTAATTGTGACAGTTTCTTTCTATGTATGACATCACCAACATACCTCTTGAGTTGTGCGGTTTAGACACATCTTTGCAGGGGTTCTGCGATCATCAAGGAAGAGCGGGTTTTTCCAACGGTCGTAATTTGTTTCCACCACATACCATATTCCTTGCTTAGGAATCAATCTGGATACAAAAGGAGAGATTCCTTATAGGCTTCCTGTCTTAAAACCTGTACATCAGTGTATGCTTTTGCTTCTACTTTAGAAGGTAGATGTATTTACAATGCTAATTATTCAAACGGCTGAGAGATGAGATTTTCATCGGCTGGCTCTATTCCCAAATGCCCACCCAGCCTGCGACAGGGCGTGCCACAGCTGGGAGCCTGGAACTCAATCCAGATCTTCCACTTGGGTGGCAGGGCCCCAAGTAGTTGAGCCATTACCTAGCGCCTCCCAGGATATGTATTAGTAGAACGCCAGGATTGGGAGTGGAGTTGGTACTTGAACACAGGGAGTCTGACAAGGGATGTGTGCATCCTAACTAATATTTGAACCACCATGCCAAATGGCCTAATCCTCTCCAGTTATTTCGCTTTAACAAATCTTCTTACCCGTACACATCCAGGGCATTTTTTCTTCCCCGTGTAATCACACAACCTTCTCCAGACTGGTTGCCTCCCAGGATAAAGTATGCTGGAGCCAATATTTTGGTCTTGGTCAATATATTCTTGGCTTCTTCATAACTATAAAGAAACATTTTTTTAAAAGATTTATTTATTTTTATTACAAAGTCAGATATACAGAAAGGAAGAGAGACAGAGAGGAAGAGCTTCCATCTGATGATTCACTCCCCAAGTGAGCGCAATGGCCGGTGCTGCGCCGATCTGAAGCCAGGAGCCAGGAACTTCCTTCTGGGTCTCCCACACAGGTGCAGGGTCCCAAAGCCTTGGGCCATCCTCGACTGCTTTCCCAGGCCACAAGCAGGGAGCTGGATGGGAAGTGGAGCTGCTGGGATTAGAACCGGCGGCCATATGGGATCCTGGCGCGATCAAGGCAAGGACTTTAGCTGTTAGGCCACAGCGCCGGGCCCAAAGAAACATTTTTAACAGGCAAAAAAATATTTTAGGTGATTTAGAAGTATTTAGGTCTATGGAAACTAAGGACAAACAAACATCTGAGGGACATTCGCTTTTTTAAAACCAGCTGGTGAAAACACAGCTACAGGAGAAATGACCCTGCCATGAGGTGGGACACTGAGATGTGAGTTGGGAACTGCACAAGGCCCCTCTCTTTGTAAAAGAGACAGAAAAGACTCAAGGCATCATTCTCCACTCTGTCAGTGCCTTCCACGCAACCTCACAACACAGGGAAACTGTATTATACAGTATGTAAGACTTCGGGAATACAAAAGCTAAACTTCTTGAAAATGAGGGCTAGTATGAGTTGGAATGAATTACACAAGAAGACATCTAAATCTTACTCCCTTGAAAGTAGGACAGGCAGACTCCATGCCCACTTATTGAAAGCTATGTGGATGTAGTGACAGCTGAAGGAAACAGTTTTGATGATGTACTATTTCTGCCCTGAGACTCAACAGAACATTTAGGTTACTTCATTGTTATTTAAATGATGATTTTGTGGTACAATTTTGCTTTTATGTGAGTGATTTCCTTTTAAAACAAAACGATGAATAAATACCTTTCATAGAGTCTGAATCCTGAACACTGTTTAAATAATTGTATTTTTTTTTTAGATAGTTCCACTCGTTTTTGTGTGGTGAGAACACACAAAGGAAATGAGTAACTCTACATGAGTGTCGAAAGTTCAGCGAAGAAGTTCGCAAAGGAAGAGAAGGTAAATAGCACCCTGGGAAATATTTTTGCATTCTGATATACTTGAAAATAAACTAAATAGCTGATAATTAAGCTACTAATCACTTTACCTTGTGCTGTTCTCCAGAACTGATCGGGTGATAAACCCTATCCACATGGCATCTTTCCTTCCCAGAATCCATTCTAAGACACCTGGAAAACAGCAAACACATAGGGTGGCACAGGCCATGGAAAAGCTTGGTCTCCCTAGAAGGGACAGTCCAGTGCTCCTCTTCCAACAGCTGTGAAATTCCCATCTCAGTTACCCCCTACTCACCAATGTAACCGCCATTTATACTGAAACGTTCATTCAGGGTAAGACTAAACCGTCCCTGAAAAAAGGACAAGGCAGTGAAGTCAAAATCTTCAACCAGTGTCTTTAAAGCTCCACCCTTTACTTTATAGCTGCATATGAAGGTCTGGTTTGGGTCATGGGGAAATACAAAGAAAAATCTAAACTGGGCACACACTGTGGTGCAGCATATTAAGCTGCCACTTGAAGCACCAGGGTGGAGTGTGAGCTCAGTATCAGAAGCTCTATGTTCCTAGTGCTTGGACTATTCCTACCATGTAGCCGTGTGGAGACCCAGATATAGCTAGCTCCTGGTCCCTGGCTTTAGCTTGGCTCTGATTCAGCTGTTATGGCCCCTTGGAAAATGAACTAGTAGAGGAAAGACCTCTCTCTCTCTCTCTCTGTCTCACAACTTACATTAAAAAGTCCTTTAAAAAGCTTAAAGCATTTTCCCATCTGGTATCTGAGACAAGCATGCCATATTTTCTGGAGCGGAAACTGAAGAGTGCATACTGCCCCAGGTGCCTGTGAACTCAGCCCCGGGTCAGAGTCCACACTGTGACTCCCAGTCCTTGCCGCCTGGCTGCATGCCCTTTCACAGGTGAGGACACCTTTGTTTCCTTCCTAATCTCCTCTACCATGTGACCTCATACCTATGAAAGTGACAAGAAATACAGTGGATGCACCGGGGCTTCATATTCTTTTTTTAGATCTCCCAACCCCTGACTCTTCAGAGACAGTAAAAGCAGGACACAAAGCTACCCGTGAAGCCATGTAATAAGATTCCTTACTGGTTTGAATCCTGTTAACATGCCAACATAGCCAGCAAAGCTTGTAGCCTTGAAGACAGTTTTATTGTTCCTTTGGAAGTCCAAATTCACTGTTAAAGGTTTTAGATTCTCAGTTACGGTCCAGGTATTATTATTTATATTCCACCTACAAAAGACAAAAATTCAGTTACATTTTCAGAACAAGGATGAGCCTAAGATGAATATGACAAGATCTTTAAAACCACAGATGGTTTTGTCTACTGTTTTCCTGCTGATAAAACCGAGGCACACAAAATTCAAGTGTGACTCGCACTCTTTTTTTTTTTTTTTTTTAAAGATTTTATTTTTATTATTTTTTCATTGGAAAGGCGGATATACAGAGAGGAGATACAGAGAGGAAGATCTTCCGTCCGATGATTCACTCCCCAAGTGAGCGCAACGGGCCGATACTATGCCGATCCGAAGCCAGGAGCCTCTTCCGGGAGTCTCCCACGCGGGTGCAGGGTCCCAAAGCTTTGGGCCGCCCTCGACTGCTTTCCCAGGCCACAGGCAGGGAGCTGGAAGGGAAGCGGGGCTGCCGGGATTAGAACCGGCGCCCATATGGGATCCCGGGCGTGCTAGGTGAGGACCTTAACCACTTGCGCCACCGCGCCGGGCCCGACTCGCACTCTTATACAGACTATTAACAACAAGCCCTGGAATGAAATGTTGTTCTATTATTACAAAACTCATGGTTTTAGAAGTGTCACAGGCCTGGCACTGTAGCCTAGTGGTTAAAGTCCTTGCCTTGCACATGCCGGGATCCCATATGGACACTGGTTCTAATCCCAGCAGCCTGGCTTCCCATCCAGTTCCCTGCTTGTGGCCTGGAAAAGCAGTGGAGGATGGCCCAAAGCCTTGGGACCCTGCACCCACGTGGGAGACCTGGAAGAGGCTCCGGGCTCCTGGCTTCGTATCGGCTCAGCTCCGGCTGTTGCAGCTGGTTGGAGAATAAATCAACGGACAGAAAATCTCTGTCTTTCCTCCTCTCTGTATATCTGACTTTCAAATAAAAATATAAACATAAATTTAAAAAAAAAGAAGTGTCACGACACACAGCCCATAGAATGTTGCTCTTTCTTCTAAGCAATACATGAGACAGATTGCATCTATGGCCATCAAGTATGTGTCGAACTTATGCTATTAGCTGTCATTTCTCAGATCTAAATTTTCACATAATAGAGTCAGTGGGTCCAGCTTATCTTGGAAAAATTAAAAGATCCAGTTATCTTTACTTATGACCACACTGTGCCCTTGACTTCTTACTTAACTCTTCATTTATGTAATGCAATCTACTCTTTTAATGGAATGATGAATACTGTGCCCTACACTTACCCAAGAAATATTCCAAAATCCATGTTTCTGCCATGTAGTAGATGACCTATTTAAAACAGTAAGCAAAGAGAACTTCAATAGCTATTAAGACAGTATAATTGATTCTAAATCATAACTAGAAACCTAGTTTTGGTTAATTCATTTTCACCAACTGCTTCATTTAAGAAGCAGTCTGATAGTGTAAGTCTTAAGATGAAACTGCTGTCATCATAGCATCTGGAACATACTGCCTTCAAACCTGAGAGCTCAGTGCTCATGGCAAAAATCAGAACATGAGAAAAGGGCCAATGATTTTTCTTTGGTCCTCCACGGGATGGCTCTGCCAGGACACAGATATCTTGGGCCCCAATTAATGTGTCCAATCAGTGTTTGCTTTCAGGGATTGTCACCTCCAGCTGGAACTATCAGGGTGGCAGCAGGCCAAAACACAGACCAAAAATCAGGGTGAATCAGGGGAAGGCATTTTGTGCTTTGAACTTTGGGAACTAGCCAAAAACAAAACAAAACAAAACAAAACAAAGGACAACACAGCTAGTGCAATGGTGGAAGGTTTGTTCTGGCACCTTCAGAAACACAAACATCTTTACAACTATGAAGATAAGGAACGACGTCCTGTGAGTATTTCTAACACACAGAGGGGCTTAGCTGACCGAGGAGTTAAGAATGTTTCTTACTCTAAAATAACGTGTAGGATGTTTGCATCTTGTTTAAACTTTAATAGCCATTATAATAATATTAAATAAGGATTATTTTCAGTGCACTTATAAAAATTTTCTGGAGAAAATAAACAAACATAGACCCCATTTACACATTGAGCTCTAATACCACTGCTTTGGAAGACTTTCCTCAGTACATATTTACCTTCTTTGGTTTCAGTGATGATTGAAGTACACATAGTAAAAAATTCATAAAAAATATTGAATGAAATAATCTCTCCTGTGAGAAGAGAAAGAATTTTTGTTAACAGACTAAACCATAATGGTATGAGACAAGTAAAGAAGTTTAACTCTCTTTGATTCATGAGAATGTGGGATCTGAGTGTTCCTGCATAGTTGGCTGCACGGCATGGCATACTCATTTGCCTATTCTCCCCAGACTAAAGACAAAGGAGACCCTAAAAGAGGCAGCCACTTGGTGCACTAAATATCTGGGCAAGTTAGAATTGTGCTATGAAATACTGTCCATTATGCCTCATTTTACATTTCCTTTGGGGAGCACAGGCATGATAATATAACACAGCTAGCTCTTGGCTGTGGGCTGAAAATAAACATTTTTTTTTTTTTACAATATGACTAACATTTCCAAGGTGAAAAAGGAGATTTAAGACCTATTAATAATTAGTGCAAAGTTGCCAAGAAAGCCTATATTCTATGGTAGAATATTTCATTTCTTGATAATTCTCTAACATAGCACTTAATTCAAAGACACATAACACATTTGCTCTGTCCTATATCATTTCAACCTGTTAAGCTTATTATGTGCTTTTCTTCATATTTATTTTTATTTGAAAGGCAGATTTACAGAGAGAAGGACAGACAAAGAAAGAGGGAGATCTTCCCTCTGCTGGTTCATTCCCCAAATGTCTACAAATGCCAGAGCTGAGTTGATTTGGAGTCAGGAGCTTCTTCTGGGTCTCCCACATGGGTGTAGGGGTCCAAGGAGATGAGTCATTCTCTGATTTCCAAGGCCATAAGCAGGAATGTGGGCTGGAAGCAGAGCAACTGGGACACGAACTGGTGCCCATATGGGATGCTGGTGCTGTCGGCAGCAGGACTAGGCTGTTGAGCCACTGCACTGGCCCCAACATGTGCTTTTCATCATAATCCAACATTTTTTTTGCTTATTCGTTAAATTCCACTCTTATTATGAATCATGTGTGAATCTGAATCCATTTTGCTCTTGGTACTTAGTATTGGCTTACTAGTATTTTTTATATAAAAAAGTTATAGGAAGTCTGGTGGCATGGTATTAATATAAAGAAAGAGATCCCCAGTGCCTATAAAACTGTATCACATAATACAATGTTAATAACAATAAAAAAATAAAAATAAAATAAAAAAAGAAAGAGATCAATAAAATTTTGTAGAAAGCCCTCGATCAAAAACAAATTATTTACAGTAATGTGAAGTATGTCAAAGATACCACTTTAATTTACTGAGGGAAGAACAGTCATTTTAATAGACAGTGTCTAATCAATAGGATATGCCATATGAAAAAAACACTTGACCCTTGACATACACAAAAACTATTTCAATGGGCTGGTATTGCAGCATAACAAGTTATCATTCACATCAGCCTATTTCAAAATGCCTGCTTGAGTCTGGGCTGCTTGCCTGATCTAGCTTTCTGTTAATGCACTGGGAAAGCAGAGGACTACGCAGACACATGCCACCTAGGTGGGAGAACAGGCTGGATTTTTTGCCTCCTGGCTTTGGTTTGGCCCACACCTGACTATTGCAGCCATTTGGGGAGTGACAAGGGGATGAAAGACTTTTCTCTCTGTTGTATGACCTTTCAAATAAATAAAGCTTAATAAAAAAATTTAAAAAGTTATTTCAAAACAGGTTGTAGGTGTCAGTGTTAAAAGTAAACACAAGGCCCTGGTGTGGTAGCCTAGTGGCTAAAGTTCTTGCCTGGAAAGTGCTGGGATCCCATATGGGCGCCAGTTCTAATCCTGGCTTCCCATCCAGCTCCCTGCCTGTGTCCTGGGAAAGCAGCTGAGGACGACCCAAAGCCTTGGGACCATGCACTCGCATGGGAGACCCGGAAGAGCTGCTGGCTCCCAGCTTCGGATCGGCGCAGCATTGGCCACTGCGGTCACTTGGGGAATCAATCATCTGATGGAAGATCTTCATCTCTGTCTCTCCTCCTCTCTGTATATCTGACTTTGCAATAAAAAAATAATAAATCTTTAAAAAAAAAGTAAACACAAAACAACTAGAAGGAAACATGCAAGCATTTTTTCATAATATTGGGATAGGCAAAGATTTCTTAAAGTGAGACAAAGCCATCCTCATGAAAGAAGAAAATGAACTATTAAGTTTCATTAAAATTAAGAATGTCCATTAAAGAACACCAATAAGAGAATAATAATGCAAGACACAGACTGGGAGTAGATATTTGGGATACCTAATAAAGGACATTTTACAGAGTACACGAGGAACTCCTTTGAATATACATATCAAAACAAACAAACAAAAAAAAAATGGAGCAAAAATTTTAGCACTCTATCTTTCTCCGAAAGAAGCAAAGAAAAAAGAAATATAAAAGGCCAGTAAGCTGAAAAAGTCAGCAATTTATTAGTTATTATGGAAATGAAAATTAAACCTATAAAAATATGTTTCTCAGAAGAATGTCTCACATAAAATTACTGACAAGATTAACTGGAGGAAACAGAAACTCATGCTACACTGACAGTCAATATAATCACTATAAGAAACTGGTTTTGAATAATTAAGGCTAACAGTATAGCTACTCCATAACCCAACAATTCACTTCCTAGGTCAATACCCAAGAGAAATGTGTACATATGATCATCAAAAACACAGGGGAAGGGAGGCGCTGCAGCACAGTGGGTCAAGCTGCTGCTGGGGAGCCCATATTCCAACTCAGAAGGCTTCTCTGTGTTCTGATCCAACCTCCTGCTAATGTTCATGGGAAGGCATCTGGGGGCCTATCAAAGACGTAGGAAACCCAGAGTCAGACAGGGTCTGACCCCACTCTGTAGCTGTAGGAATTTGGGGAGTCAATCATCAAATTGAAGACCTGACTCTCCCTCTTTTTCATTCTACTATTGTTATTATTACTCTTAGGGATTTATTTATTTAATTGGAAAGTCAGATTTACAGAGAGGAGAGACAAGAGAAAGATCTTCCAACCACTGGTTCACTCCTCAAGTGGCTGCAACGGTTGGAGCTGAGCCAATCTGATGCCAGGAACATGGAGCTTCTTCTGGGTCGCCCATGTGGGTGCAGGGTCCCAAGGCTTTGAGCCATCCTCTGTTTTCCCCAGGCCACAAGCAGGGAGCTGGATGGGAACTTGGGGAGTGAACCAGCAGACAAAAGATCTCTCTGTCTCTCCTTCTCTCTGTAAATCTGATTTGCCTTTTCAATAAAAATAAATACATCTTTAAAAAGAATAGAAAAGCTTCATTGAGGTGTATATTTAAGATCTGTACAATTTACCACATTTATTTCATGCCTCAATAAAAATACTTTCAAGAATTTTGTTAGCTTTCTTAAATGCTGTAAAGTGAACTTTACCTAAAGGTATACCAGTAGCATCTGCGATTCCCTTCATTTCCTCTTCAAAAGGGCCAGGAAAGTTGCCAAGCATACTCGGCTGAAAAACGCAAGGACAATGATTTAACCTACACGCATATTTTGAGATCGCTGCTTTAACATATAATTTGTCCCGGATAGTGTTCCTACTATACAAAAGAGTTACCTTTACATTATGTATTCCAAAACATCCTTATTTGTACTCAGAATTCCCCAATTCCCCAGAGACAGCAGATGCCTGCCTGACTTCACCTGGCTGACCTCACACATCCCACATACACACACTTCTCACCTTGGTTCCAACTCACCCTCCAGCCACACGCAAGCACCCTTACTCTCTCCTCATGCACCAACCACAATAAACGTGCAATATGCTTTACATTCACAGGACCATCTGTCATGGTTAATGTGATGCTCGGGCTAAGAAACACTAACATACACTGTTAACAAACCACAGACGAAAGAGCAAGTTCAATAGGGGACATCACGCTTTTATGTGCAACTGCCATGACTTGCCAGCATCCACATCATAAGTGAAGAGCACATACTGTTGTTGACACATGTGCTTAAAATTCACAAGTCCCACTTGTCATCAGCTTGGTGCTATGACCTAACTAAACATAAATTTTTTAAAAATCAAAGTATTACATAGGTGAAAATTTGTAGTATAAGTTAACAAAGGTAACTTAATGAACATTTCCTAACACTGATGTTTTAAAACTATGCTTCGCTTACATGTATCACTTAAACCTCACAACTGCCACATAAAATAAGTAAATACTAAGTCAGATAGGTTAAGAAATCTGCCAAAACCACATAGCTAGCATGTGAATGATCCAGCCTTAAAACCTAACGGTGTTGAATTTCAAAGCATGCCACCAAACACTCTGCAGTGTGGTTCCCCCTATTGTCATTCACAATAGAGAGGAAGTCAGGGCAGAAAAGTATGTAGGGACCTATTCATCTCAAGCTCCTGCCAACACTTTTATGTGTGTGTGTGTGTTGGGGGGGGGAGTCTGGCAGGCAGAAACACTGAAGACCGCTTTAATCAAAGGCTCTGAGAGCACCAACGAGAGGTAATAGGCTTGGTGGTAGGCAGGTAAACCGTAATCAGGAGGACATATCCAGGATACAGCCTCTAGGACAGTGATCCTTGACAGAGGCAGTTTTGTGTCTCTCCTACCCAACTATGGGAGATTTGCCCAAGTTGGAGACATTTTTGGTCACCTCGACAACATACAGGACTACTCTTACTACAAAGTGGTAAAAGACCCCAAGGTCCTCTGTGTCCCATCTGCATGAGGGTTTTTTGTCTACTCCTTATCCTCTGCACCTTACAGAAAAGAGAGGGAAGAAAGAGAAAGGCAGACTCCAGGAGCCAGGGCCTAGGTGCTCTATTGGTCCCATCTAAATGGAAAAGGATCTGGGAATGGGGTCCTTCTGCATGACGGAGGAGGAAAATGAAAGTCATAAGGGCCACATTCTACCCAAGTGGGCTTCAAGGGACACAGCTCTGAAAGGATTCCATAGAACACAGCTCTTTGGTCAGATCTGGAAGAGATGCTGGGTGAGATGAGATACTAAGGCAAAATACTCAAGAACAAAATCATGTCTTCAAGAATGAGCTTCAACTAACATGCAAAGGACAGAAAATTTCGTACTCCCAGATGAAAACGGTACATTGCTCATTGCTCTGCAAGAGTCCATACATTAAAAACCATCAAAGAGAATAGCTAACTGTTGAGATTTCTCAGGTTTTATGTCGTGTTACTCTAATATTACTAATCTGCAGATTTTAGGCCCTCTGAAGTTTTTGTGGTAATCCATAATAAATGCAAATTTTCACAAGTTCCTGAGAAAATATTGTTGAATTATGCCCAAATAAATACCATGTTTTCCGAACTCTGTGTATATGTGTAAGTGTGTTATATATGGGAAACAATTTCTTACCAACTTTTCATCCACTATCTGCATAATTTTCCCACTTGGCACAAAGGCATTTACTACATTCTTCAGGGTGTTCACTATAACCTTTATCTGGAAAACAAACACACACACACTTAATAAAAGATATAAAGATGTGCTTTCATTAATGTTGGTATAATGGGAAAGGACATAAACTTTTACATTTCTACAGAGCTAGATCAAAGAGTGCTATTAGAAAAGACTTTCAATTAATGTACTCACAATCCATTTTTAAAATAACACTTGATCTTTAACTATTCACATGAAGGGTAATTATACAAAAGGATCAAAATGCACAGAAACAAAAAAATTCGTAGAAAAGAACAAGAAGCCACATCTTTTTAAAATAACACATTTTTCCTCCACTATCACTCACTTGTGCTGAGCAGGAAAGTGTTGAAAGTGCACTTTTAAATTCTGGTTGAATTTTTTAAAAAAGTGATTCTTTAAAAAAAAAATGTACTCCCATTCAGTAAAGTTGGAAATAGATGATTTAAGGCTCATAGCATACCGTTGCTGCCTTGTCAACCATCAGATCGTGCCATCTTTTGTAGGGTGGTAAGTCAAGATTTATGGTGTACCACGGAACTTGTCCCCTATATCTGTAAAGAGAGGTATATCACTTTGAAATACTGGAATTGTTTTGTCTTGGGGGGGCATTAGATAGTCACATCTATAATGATATACCTGAGACACATTCTTAGTAACAATATAGACATTGGTTACTCAATCTAAATTTTGCCAAAAAAACATTGTCTCTACCCAGTGCTTCTGCCCTATGCTGCACATATAATCATAGGCCTCAGAAATCTCAGAACAGGATTATACTTGTACATTCTGGAAGTTAATGTGAGTTCATGATCTGTGAGAAAAGACAGATTATGAGAGCTATAATCTCAGTATTACTGGTGGAAAATGCCCACCACCCTTCACACTCTACGTATCTGTAAATACTTACTCTTAGTTTGGGATACTTCTCTAAGTGTTTTCCCAGTCCCAGAACGCTGTCTCAGACAGCCTAACACTATCGCCAAATCACTGTGAGTAAAGGCATCTTTGAAGCCCCAGAATGGCAACACAGATGAACTTCCCAGCACTGACATCAGAGCCTTCAGTACTCTCTGCTGTTCCACTCTTTCTTCTGGCTACTTCCTTCTTTTTTCTTCTTTGGCACTAAATCCAACCCCAACCCCTATTCTATCATAGCCATTCTGCAGTTGCCTAGTCCTTGGCTTGCATGCAACAGTTTCTGCTGTCAACAGAAACTGTCTGTCCTTATCAACAGCTAGATCAGAGATCTGGTGATGATCTATGATAATCTCTGTTATTACAGAAACATCATTTTCTGGCACTTATTACAAAACTGAGAAAGCCTGTATGGGTGTGCCATTCAGTGACTTAGTATCATCTGATTCTTTAGTTGTTTCTTTTCTTAAAATTTATTTTTATTGGAAAGGCAGATTTATAGAGAGAAGGAGAGACACAAAGATCCTTCATCTGTTGGTGCACTCCCCAGATAGCTGCAACAGTTGGAGCTGAGACGATCTGAAGACAGGAGCATCTTCCGGGTGTCCCATGTGAGTGCAGGGTGCCAAGGCTTTGGGCCGTCTTTTGCTGCTTTCCCAGGCCACAAGCAGGGTGCTGGATGGTTAAGTGAAGCAGTCGGGACTTGAACTGGCACCTAGATGGGTTCTTCTTATTGCTTGCAAGGGGAGGATTAGCCAATTAAGCCAACATGTTTGGCCCTTCATTAGTGTTCTGTTCCAGAGAAACAGAGGGTGCCCACTATATGTGCTGCAATGGTACTAGCCTCTGAAAACCTTACTCAGACTTATATCTACAGTCATACACTGTGCTTCCATTTACAAAGACATTTCTACAATCACAACTAATTATTCAGTTCTCTAAACATTGTTACTGAGCTTGGGGTCAATGTGTAGCATAGTCAAATTTAGAAACATAAATTTAAACAAAATCACATGGAAAGAGTAAGTTATGTTCTTCTCAAAGAACTTTTAAGTTCTCCTCCTGGTTTGGACCTTATACCCATGTGAATGAAATAATATCATTCTTAAATCCCAGAAAAAAAATCTTTTCATCCCAGCAAATTCCATTTCTGCTTGGCTATAACTCATATTCGAAGTTCTGTCCTCAACTCAGTAATTTTTCCCACCAACGATGGGCAGATACTGCTTAACTCAGGTACTTGCATTTCCATGTCCGGTAGCAATGACAACATGTGTGACCCACTGCAGGTAAGCCTGCTGGTGGTATCATCATAAAATGTCCTTTACATGTGAAATCCAATCAACTATTCCTTGCCTCATACAATTCAACAAAACCCAAACACACTCCCCGATCTATTATAAATTCCCATTTTTTTTCCAGGCCAGTGTCCGGGACAGTCTCAAGGTTTCAGAGGGAAATGGAGATGCAGCCTGTTTTCTGCAGTAAAGGATAGCAACCATGTGGGGACATTAACACTCCAGACATCTCTTAAAAATCAACCTTTTGCTAATCAGAACTTCTAATCTAACAATTGTTAGATTCATTCTAACAATTTAAATTGTTGTAATAATTTAAACTTAACTACAAACCCCACATTTTATCCCTCATTAAATATGGTTGTAAAGTATCTCAACACTTAATACCTGTACTTCGATTTCTTATAGAAACAGTATTCCCCTTATGAAAGAATTATAGAAAATATGGAAAAAATTAGGAACATTGGTATATTTTCTTACTTCCCTACAAAGAGGAAATATCATTTAATCATTTTTGAGACTCAGAATATGCTGAGTCTAGGTAATCAAAATACTGATCTTATTTCCTGACCCCACGTGATTTCCCAGGTGACTTGGAAACTAGACCAGGTGACGCAATACAGACATACAAATGAACAGATGTTAAACACCCAGTGAGCAGCAAAAACAGAAATGATTAATGGGATTAAGAAGCACCAGAGGTGACAGGCTTTCAGTTTGTTATCTGCAGCATAGACTTGACAGGTCAAGCTGGATGAACAGGTGCCTCTTCTCCCATCCTAGTTACCCAAGCATGCTGCCAAACAGTCAACTGACTTGACAGAAGAGAATGACCTGACGGGTACAGGAAGACTGTTTGTCCTTTGTCCATACCATGCCTCTCTTCTGGATCTCAAGATTCAAAAAAGAAAAGGGCCTGAGGAGAACTGAGGATTTCTGTGTAGGTCATCAGGCTAGTGGAGCAGAAGATAAACTGAGCAGGAACACCAAGGCAAGGAGAGAAACACACACAGACACTAAGAGCATGTATAAATGTGCATGCGTTTAGGTTATACATGTAAACATCTATGCATGTACATGTTTGTACACACACACGCACACACACTCTAACAAGACGCATTTAGTCAAGTGCCCAAACAGGAAAGGCTTACAGTTTTGCAGCTGTAATTCACAGACATGGAAAGTGCATATAAAAGGGAGGAGAAAACAGGCTCTCTAACATGGAAGGTTTTCATTAAATATTCACTGAATTGGGCAGTGAGGGCATCCAAGAGATGATCTCAGTGACACACTGAAGCTGGGTCTCAGCAGTGACAGGAAGGAAGGTCTTTTAGCAAAAAGCCCATTAAAAAAGAACACTGGGGGCCCGGCGTGATGGCACAGTGGTTAAGGTCCTCGCCTTGCACGCCTGGGATCCCATATGGGCGCCGGTTCTAATCCCGGCGGCTCCACTTCCCTTCCAGCTCCCTGCTTGTGGCCTGGGAAAGCAGTCGAGGACGGCCCAAAGCTTTGGCACCCTGCACCCACGTGGGAGACCTGGAAGAGGTTCCTGGTTCCCGGCTTTGGACCGGCATAGCATTGGCCGTTGCGCTCACTTGGGGAGTGAATCATCGGATGGAAGATCTTCCTCTCTGTCTCTCCTCTCTGTATATCTGCCTTTCCAATAAAAATAAAATAAATCTTTAAAAAAAAAAAAGAACACTGGAATATGAGTTAGCTTGAGAATTATATGGAAATTGGTTAGCTCTAAATTGTTTCCTGCCTTAAAACTTTTCTCTTTCCACAGAAAGGTGAGTAACTCCAAAGAATCTAGGTTTTTTTGCCATTTCACTCAATCTAAGGTAATTGTTACTCAACCATCAGCAAGTACCACAGAAGATTCTCCTACTTTACCACACACAGCAAATACCATTTAATCATTTCCGAGACTTAGCATTTGCTTTGTCCAGGTCATCATATTATTGGTCACCAGGTGCCTGAACCCACCTGGCTCCCAGGTGGCTTGGAAACCAGTCCAAGTAACACAACACACATCCAAATAGGAGGGCCAATGCTAAGCACCCAGTGAGCAGTAGAAAAGAAATGCACAAGGGATCAGATGGATACAGTGGTGAGAGGTCAGCATCCCAAGGCTGGACTCAAGGCTATTTAGAACACAGAATTTAGATAAGAGCACACATGTGTAACTTGGAATAACCTTCTTTTATTCACTACAATCGTGTTTTCTACTCAATAGTGTCATCGTGTTAAAGTGCATTTCTTGAAGGCTTCACATATGAGCTCTTCAGCTTTTTCTTCCAAAATAATTTGCTAGCTTATTTAAAGCTTCACCTGTATACACCAGAAAGAGAAGAGAGAGACAAGAGAGCAGGGCAAGAGAGAGGGAGATCCTGAATGTTATAAAATATAAAAACCTTGTTATCACTGGTTTGGTTTGTGCTCTGCCTCCACTACGCGCTCAGCGGGAAGAAGGATAGGAGAAAACATTCCCTGTTACCCACACTGCTTCCTTTTTCCCACATTCTGTAGGCCTATCAGCTGTGTCGTCATTCTCACAGGTTCATTTCGTCGCTAAAGATTTGGAAAGACCAAAATCTAGACTAAAAGAGAATGCTAAACATGATTTTTGCTCTATTTTCTAATCCTGTCTTATAATATCTTCCTCACATCAGGTTAAATTATTTCTTTTTTTTCACATAAGAGGTCTTGAGCCCTTTTGCTCAAAATATCAATATAATTTGATGATTTATTTTCAGAAACAATAGAGAATTGCAGATTTTTTTTTTTACCAAATCCAGTCCTTGGTCTTTACTTGTCAAAAATGAGAAAAATGCTCAGGTAAGTAGAAAGAGTTCATGGAAAACAGATACCCCTTTATTTCCTATGATTTTGATAGATAAGAAATGGGTATTTTTATATTTGCCCATGACCTTGGTCAAATGCACTGTATGTGAACTTCAAAAAAGGAACTTGCCATGGAATAAGGACACTACCTGTTTTCTATTCATTATCATTTTTATTTGAGATCATTACATAAGAAAAAAAACCTCAACAAAGGTCAGAGTGGGTTTTGATCATGTAAGGTTTACTCACGTGGGTCCAGAAGGAGGATAAGTTGATTTTCTGCAGTCTTCTGTCCACTAAAAAACAGAATTTTTAAATTCCTGAGAAACATAAATACCCACTGGCAGACAATTTATGAAAATAGCTACAGCTGGTGAATAAAAAAATCAAGTATGACTTTGCCCGTTCAGATGATTATGCCTCCTAAAAGTCTTTGTCTTTCAGGAAGACTCCTCAAATCCCAAATCAGTGATAGCATTTTCCATCTTAATTCAGTGTGTGCAAGGACCAGGTGTTATAGCTGGGCTCTTTATTTTTGTATTTTTTAAAGATTTATTTATTTTTATTACAAAGTCAGATTTACAGAAAAAAGGACAGAGAGGAAAGGTCTCCTGTCTGCTGATTCACTCCTCAAGTGGCAACAACAGCCAGTGCTGAGCCAATCTGAAGCCAGGAGTGTCTTCTGCGTCACATGAGTGCAGGGTACCAAGGCTTTGGGTCGTTCTCGACTGCTTTCCCAGGCCACAAGCAGGGAGCTGGAATGGAAGTGGAGCAGCTGGGACATGAACTGGTGTCCATATGGGATCCTGCGGTATGCAAGGTGAGGACTTTAGCTGCTAGGCTACTGCATCAGGCCCTACAATTGGGCTCTTCTACTGCAATAATGCATGGAGCAAAGAAGAAATATCAGAAATTAGGCAGGAAAATCTCATGTTAGTAAGGCTGGCTTATCACCAGAAGTAACTGGCATGGTGAGATGTGATCATACCGTAAGTATAAGTCAGTTCTACTGCAACCAGTCCCGGGCCTTGCAACCCAAACCAGATTTGCAGGGCACACTGCCTCGGACCCTTCTTAATGTGGCCATACTTCACTATCCCAGTTCAATATGTGGACACTCCTAATATTTATAACCTCATACAAACACTTCTCCCCACTCTCACCCATCCACACTTTAGCATGTGCTATTCTTTTGGCCTTGTACGGTCTTTCCCTACCCAGTTGTTAGAACTCCTGGTACCAAGATCCGATTCCAATGCTTTCCTCTTTGGCAAAGTCCTCATTTACTTCTCACATGCGCTCCCACGGCGCTGGAACACATTTCCATTTCGACAGCACGTTCACTCTAATTGTTTCTGTCTCACTTTATCAGACTCTTGAGCTCCTTGGCGTAAGGGCAGCCCTCAACACTGAAGCCACTGCCTGACACACGAATGAGTGAGTCTGTATTGAGGAGAGTTGTTCAAGCTTAGTAGCAAAGCAGAATTTTCTCCTAACATAAAATTATTACAGAAAAGTCCACCCAGATATACAATCTTTTATTACAAGTTTGAGACGGCAATTATGTTTATCTACTCTCTCACGGAAGACTCAGTATTGTAAAATGATTATTTCAAAGAAGTATAAATTACAGTAATATTATATAGACAGCAGAAGGAAACCACTAGAACTGGAGTTTGAACTCAGAGACTAAGACCTGCCTTACGTTAGTGCAGGGATGGAGTAAGAAGAATAAGCTCGTGTTCCACTAAGTGACTGTAATAAGAAAGTTTTTACCAAAGTAAAATAAATCTAGCAACATTTGTTGACTACAGTAGTCAAGACAGTGCGGCACCAGTCTCAGAGTACACATCTAAAACAAGAAGAACAGGAATAAAAAGTCAAGGAATGAAAGCACATCTATGTCATCGCACACAACTGATGAAAATTATAGGTAAAAGATAAAAATCTTATACCTCATAATAAAAATAACTGAATTTTTAAAATGGGCAAATGCTATGAATAGGCATTTCTTCAAGGAAGACACATGAATGGCCAATAAGCTCAAAAAAAATGCTCAACATCATTAGCCATCAGAGAAGGATCTGTCAAAACCATTAGGAGACATTACTTCAAATGCATCAAGATGGTTATAACAGAAGACATACATGGTAACAAGTACTGGTGAAGACGTGAAGAAGCTCCATCACTTACACGAGATACCAGGATGTAAAACAGTGTGTCTGCTTTGGAAAACAACCGTCAGTTCCACAATGATCAAAACACAGAATTATCACAGAACCCAGCAATTCCATTCCTGGGTCTATATCCAAGAGACAGGAAAACACACACATACAAATACTAGTGTTCAAAGCAGTATTATCCACATTAGCCAAAAGTTGTAAACAACCCACTAGCTGATGAATAAATGGATAGACTAAATGTAGTATATACATACACTGGAAAATCATTCAGCAATAAGAAGAAATGGAGGGCTGATGTTGTGTGCAGCACGGTAAGTCACTGCCAGCAATGCTGGCATCCTATACTAGCACCAGTTTGTGTTCTGACTGCTCCATTTCAGATATAGCTCCCTGTTGGTGGGTTGGGAAAAGCAGAAGATGGCTCAGATGTTTGGGTCACTGCCCCCCTTAGGGAGATCTGAAATAAACTCATGGCTCCTGGCTTCAGGCTTTGGCCTGGCCCAGCAGTAGCTATTATGACCATTCAGGGAGCAAATCAGTGAATGGAAGATTTCTCTGTCTCTCTCTGTACTCTTTCAAAATAAATAAATAAACCTTTTAAAAATGGAAATATTACTACATGCTATAAGAAAGATGAACTGTGAATGTGTCAGGATATATTAAAGAGGACTTTCAAAAAGACCACATAACTTACGGTTCCCTTTACATGAAATGGGCAGAACAGGCAAATCCAGAGACAAATAGATTAGGAGGAGGGGTGTCTTAGTAGAAAGGGGAGAGGACTGAGTGGTGAATTTCTTTTGCAGCTGATGTATTCTAAGTTGGCTGTAAAACTCTGGGAATACCCTGAAGTGACTGAACTGTATATTTTTAATGAGTGAATTGCATGGCATAAGATTGATCTTAGTAATACTATTTAGATGTGGAAAACAATCTACACTTTCATCTATCATTTCAGAATGAGCTGGTGATGTCTAAGGTTAATTAATGCAAGCAAAATCAGCACAAACTTAATGTCATTATTCATGATGATAACTAGGGATGAAATTAAATTTTAGCACCAATAATGGGGAGAATGCCAATCAATTCAAAGAGTTGCAAACAACTAGGATGGCAAGATTCAGGGGCTCTGGTTGAGTGCTCTTTTGGGGTGAAATAACTACCTGGTCAACCAGGAGCACAGTGACAAGGGGCTGTTATCAGGGGTGCAAAGATGGAGCAGGAGGCTGTCACTACTCATCAGCCTGTATGGATGGTTTGATTTTCTTTGGCCATGTATAGTTAGATACAAACTTTTTTTTATAGATTATTTTTATTACTGTTTTATGATAAGTTCATAGGCTCTGGGATTTTCCACTTCCCTTCCCAAGTCCCCCCCCCCCATCTGATTTCCCCTCTAGTATTATGATGGATGGTCCTTCATGAACAATCGTAAGTCCATCGTTTCGCTATTCAAGTGTTTTCCGACATTGTAGGAATGGACAACATTGGAAAATTCAGCATCCTACTGTCAGGATATTTTCAACCTTTTCACTGGGAGTCCATCTTTGGTCTGGAGACACAAACTTTTGAATAGTAAACTTTAAGAGGGAAATGTTTTTCTTTACATAGAATATTTTCAGAGAATGACTCTGAAATTATTTTTCAATGCCTTATACTGTCACTGTCTGAAAGTAATTTAAAATAACAGCTATTGTAATGGAGGACACGGTTCTCTGAATGCATTAGTCCTTGTTAGTAACTTATTAAAAAGATTTTTTTTTATTGGAAAGGCAGATATACAGAGAGAAGATGGTACAGAGAGAAAGATCTTCCATCCTCTAGTTCACTCCCTCAATGGCTGCAACAGTTGGAGCTGAGCCGATCTTAAGCCGGGAGGCAGGAGCTTCTTCCCAGTCTCCCATGTGAGTGCAGGGTCCCAAGACTTTGGGCTGTCCTCTGCTATGTCCCAGGCCACAAGCAGGAAGCTGAATGAAAAGTGGAACAGGCGGAACACAAACCTGTGCTCATATGGAATCCCTGTGGATGCAAGGTAAGGATTTAGCCACTAGGCCACAGTGCTGGGCCACCTTGTCAGTAATTGGGAAAGATACTAAAATATAGCAACTTACTTCAGAAAGTCTCAATTTACTCATGAGTTTTCTAAACATATCAATTAGCAACACACCCAATTTCTAACTTCAGAATAGCAATCCTTATGCTATACAAATTCATTCAGTATAAGAATGGTGAGTTTAAAATATGATTCAACAAAATATCCAATCCATGTCCTTTACTGAGTTTCAGGCTCTTGCAAATTTCATGGCCATGGTCTAGATGCGAACTCAGCTCCATCAATGATGTGTAGATTATACAGCTAGGGACAGAACCAGGGTCTCTGCTATTCCATCATGCAGTTCTGAGCTGTGATCACAATACAATCAATGCCTCAGTTCATTTTGCACCAAGAAAGCCTATACTTAGTTAAGGAATTCTGCAGTGTAATTTCTCATTCAGCAAATGAGAAATCTAATGACTCCTGTTTCTCCCTAATAATTATATTTGCATGCCCTAAACAGCTGAGACAAAAACCCAGCTAAGGGCACACTGTCTAGTTGACTGTGAGGGGGCTGCAAGTGGTGTCAAGGATTAGGAAAGAATTTGACTTGCCCCAGGGGTAACAGCTGTGGATAAGTCTTGCAACAATACATGTGGGAGTCTCAGTTAACAACTGTCATAATTCTGGCTGTAACAGACAAGGAATCTGCATGGAAATTAGCAGAAAGTATAAAGGTGGAACTTGAGTGAAAACAACAAAGGCAGCCACTGAGAACACATTATTTCAGGTGTGCAGAAGCACTAACACAGAAGCCAGTTAAACTAACAAAGGTTCTTTTTAAAGATGGGGTGGAAAGAGAGCTACATCCTCACCCTTGGAAAAATTCCACATGGAAAGAATAACTCTAAAATCAATGTGCAGCCTAAGATAGTATCGGAATGAGTTCACTGGTTATTCAAAGCTTCTTCCTATCACCAAATTTAGCTACACATGATTTAAAACTAGACAATTTTATCAAGATAGCTAAGCACCTAGACAGACCGCAGGCAGAGAGCACAGTCTCCTTGATACACTG